ATCAGTGTGGATTGGTGGCATACAGCGAGTCATCAGTGTGGATTGGTGGCATACAGCGAGTCATCAGTGTGGATTGGTGGCATACAGCGAGTCATCAGTGTGGATTGGTGGCATACAGCGAGTCATCAGTGTGGATTGGTGGCATACAGCGAGTCATCAGTGTGGATTGGTGGCATACAGCGAGTCATCAGTGTGGATTGGTGGCATACAGCAAGTCATCAGTGTGGATTGGTGGCATACAGCGAGTCATCAGTGTGGATTGGTGGCATACAGCGAGTCATCAGTGTGGATTGGTGGCATACAGCAAGTCATCAGTGTGGATTGGTGGCATACAGCGAGTCATCAGTGTGGATTGGTGGCATACAGCGAGTCATCAGTGTGGATTGGTGGCATACAGCGAGTCATCAGTGTGGACTGGTGGCATACGGCGAGTCATCAGTGTGGATTGGTGGCATACAGCGAGTCATCAGTGTGGACTGGTGGCATACGGCGAGTCATCAGTGTGGATTGGTGGCATACGGCGAGTCATCAGTGTAGATTGGTGGCATACAGCGAGTCATCAGTGTGGACTGGTGGCATACGGCGAGTCATCAGTGTGGATTGGTGGCATACAGCGAGTCATCAGTGTGGACTGGTGGCATACGGCGAGTCATCAGTGTGGATTGGTGGCATACGGCGAGTCATCAGTGTAGATTGGTGGCATACAGCGAGTCATCAGTGTGGACTGGTGGCATACGGCGAGTCATCAGTGTGGATTGGTGGCATACGGCGAGTCATCAGTGTAGATTGGTGGCATACAGCGAGTCATCAGTGTGGATTGGTGGCATACGGCGAGTCATCAGTGTAGATTGGTGGCATACAGCGAGTCATCAGTGTGGATTGGTGGCATACAGCGAGTCATCAGTGTGGATTGGTGGCATACAGCGAGTCATCAGTGTGGATTGGTGGCATACAGCGAGTCATCAGTGTGGATTGGTGGCATACAGCGAGTCATCAGTGTGGATTGGTGGCATACAGCGAGTCATCAGTGTGGATTGGTGGCATACAGCGAGTCATCAGTGTGGATTGGTGGCATACAGCAAGTCATCAGTGTGGATTGGTGGCATACAGCGAGTCATCAGTGTGGATTGGTGGCATACAGCGAGTCATCAGTGTGGATTGGTGGCATACAGCAAGTCATCAGTGTGGATTGGTGGCATACAGCGAGTCATCAGTGTGGATTGGTGGCATACAGCGAGTCATCAGTGTGGATTGGTGGCATACAGCGAGTCATCAGTGTGGACTGGTGGCATACGGCGAGTCATCAGTGTGGATTGGTGGCATACAGCGAGTCATCAGTGTGGACTGGTGGCATACGGCGAGTCATCAGTGTGGATTGGTGGCATACGGCGAGTCATCAGTGTAGATTGGTGGCATACAGCGAGTCATCAGTGTGGATTGGTGGCATACGGCGAGTCATCAGTGTAGATTGGTGGCATACAGCGAGTCATCAGTGTGGATTGGTGGCATACAGCGAGTCATCAGTGTGGATTGGTGGCATACAGCGAGTCATCAGTGTGGATTGGTGGCATACAGCGAGTCATCAGTGTGGACTGGTGGCATACAGCGAGTCATCAGTGTGGATTGTCGGCATACAGCAAGTCATCAGTGTGGATTGGTGGCATACAGCGAGTCATCAGTGTGGATTGGTGGCATACAGCGAGTCATCAGTGTGGATTGGTGGCATACAGCGAGTCATCAGTGTGGACTGGTGGCATACGGCGAGTCATCAGTGTGGATTGGTGGCATACAGCGAGTCATCAGTGTGGACTGGTGGCATACGGCGAGTCATCAGTGTGGATTGGTGGCATACGGCGAGTCATCAGTGTAGATTGGTGGCATACAGCGAGTCATCAGTGTGGACTGGTGGCATACGGCGAGTCATCAGTGTGGATTGGTGGCATACAGCGAGTCATCAGTGTGGACTGGTGGCATACGGCGAGTCATCAGTGTGGATTGGTGGCATACGGCGAGTCATCAGTGTAGATTGGTGGCATACAGCGAGTCATCAGTGTGGATTGGTGGCATACGGCGAGTCATCAGTGTAGATTGGTGGCATACAGCGAGTCATCAGTGTGGATTGGTGGCATACAGCGAGTCATCAGTGTGGATTGGTGGCATACAGCGAGTCATCAGTGTGGATTGGTGGCATACAGCGAGTCATCAGTGTGGACTGGTGGCATACAGCGAGTCATCAGTGTGGATTGTCGGCATACAGCAAGTCATCAGTGTGGATTGGTGGCATACAGCGAGTCATCAGTGTGGATTGGTGGCATACAGCGAGTCATCAGTGTGGATTGGTGGCATACAGCGAGTCATCAGTGTGGACTGGTGGCATACGGCGAGTCATCAGTGTGGATTGGTGGCATACAGCGAGTCATCAGTGTGGACTGGTGGCATACGGCGAGTCATCAGTGTGGATTGGTGGCATACGGCGAGTCATCAGTGTAGATTGGTGGCATACAGCGAGTCATCAGTGTGGACTGGTGGCATACGGCGAGTCATCAGTGTGGATTGGTGGCATACAGCGAGTCATCAGTGTGGACTGGTGGCATACGGCGAGTCATCAGTGTGGATTGGTGGCATACGGCGAGTCATCAGTGTAGATTGGTGGCATACAGCGAGTCATCAGTGTGGATTGGTGGCATACGGCGAGTCATCAGTGTAGATTGGTGGCATACAGCGAATCATCAGTGTGGATTGGTGGCATACAGCGAGTCATCAGTGTGGACTGGTGGCATACAGCGAGTCATCAGTGTGGATTGGTGGCATACAGCGAGTCATCAGTGTGGACTGGTGGCATACAGCGAGTCATCAGTGTGGATTGTCGGCATACAGCAAGTCATCAGTGTGGATTGGTGGCATACAGCGAGTCATCAGTGTGGATTGGTGGCATACAGCGAGTCATCAGTGTGGACTGGTGGCATACAGCGAGTCATCAGTGTGGATTGGTGGCATACAGCGAGTCATCAGTATGGATTGGTGGCATACGGCGAGTCATCAGTGTAGATTGGTGGCATACAGTGAGTCATCAGTGTGGATTGGTGGCATACAGCGAGTCATCAGTGTGGATTGGTGGCATACAGCGAGTCATCAGTGTGGATTGGTGGCATACGGCGAGTCATCAGTGTGGACTGGTGGCATACAGCGAGTCATCAGTGTGGATTGGTGGCATACAGCGAGTCATCAGTGTGGATTGGTGGCATACAGCGAGTCATCAGTGTGGATTGGTGGCATACGGCGAGTCATCAGTGTAGATTGGTGGCATACAGCGAGTCATCAGTGTGGATTGGTGGCATACGGCGAGTCATCAGTGTAGATTGGTGGCATACAGCGAGTCATCAGTGTGGATTGGTGGCATACAGGGAGTCATCAGTGTGGACTGGTGGCATACAGCGAGTCATCAGTGTGGATTGGTGGCATACAGCGAGTCATCAGTGTGGACTGGTGGCATACAGCGAGTCATCAGTGTGGATTGTCGGCATACAGCAAGTCATCAGTGTGGATTGGTGGCATACAGCGAGTCATCAGTGTGGATTGGTGGCATACAGCGAGTCATCAGTGTGGACTGGTGGCATACAGCGAGTCATCAGTGTGGATTGGTGGCATACAGCGAGTCATCAGTATGGATTGGTGGCATACGGCGAGTCATCAGTGTAGATTGGTGGCATACAGTGAGTCATCAGTGTGGATTGGTGGCATACAGCGAGTCATCAGTGTGGATTGGTGGCATACAGCGAGTCATCAGTGTGGATTGGTGGCATACGGCGAGTCATCAGTGTGGACTGGTGGCATACAGCGAGTCATCAGTGTGGATTGGTGGCATACAGCGAGTCATCAGTGTGGATTGGTGGCATACAGCGAGTCATCAGTGTGGATTGGTGGCATACGGCGAGTCATCAGTGTGGGCTGGTGGCATACAGGGAGTCATCAGTGTGGATTGGTGGCATACAGCGAGTCATCAGTGTGGACTGGTGGCATACGGCGAGTCATCAGTGTAGACTGGTGGCATACGGCGAAGCTGGGGTGGCATACAGCGAGTCATCAGTGTGGATTGGTGGCATACGGCGAGTCATCAGTGTAGACTGGTGGCATACGGCGAAGCTGGGATTCAGAAATGGCCTCAAGGCCAGCGTTGGTAAATCGTTTGTTCGGCAACCTGTGAGCAATATTCTATGAGCTTACACGAGACCGCATCGATCGCTTCAAGCTGTGAGGATGCGTCTTTCCGGAACACTTTCAACCGCTGCTGAAGGCTGAGTACAATAAATAACCCAGCAAAGCATGGACACCAATGGTTGCCTCCTCTGTCCAAAGTGAATATTTACTCATACTGATAACCCAAATTTCGTGCTTCGATGTACAATTTTTTTCCGAATTTTCACCATGCACGAGCTATTGTGCTATGCACAGTGCTATACACGTCTGATGATCCTTTTTCTTATTTTGCAACTTTTTATTTTTTTCCACCTCTCGCATATGATTGTGGAAGTTGAACTGACGCGAAACATAGATCTAAAAAATGATGGCCTTTTGCGTTGAAAAGATAGATAGAAAAAATAAAAATGAAACAAGAGAGCTTGAAAGCTCAGGGCCCTATGCTATGCTTTTTGCCTAGCTCATCATCCATGTGATTCGAACTGATGGAAGTGTTTTTGCAATACAATGATGTAGCCGATCAGTTCTAATGCATGATGAGCTAGGCAAAAAAGCATTCTGTAAGTCAACAAATTTTCGCCCCATTCAAATTTCGGCCTCCTTGGGCTAGAACACATTTCGGCTGCAAGACATTTTCGGCCTGTACTGCTGCTGCCTGTATACACTGTCACACTGAACCTTGCAAAACAAAATTTCGGCTGCAACAAATAAATTTTCGGCCACATATGATCAGGCCGAAAATAACCGAAAATAAATATGCACCGATTATTTGCTCTCTCGTTTTAAAGGTGACAAATACTCACGTGTATGCAGTGTTTGGTGTGAGACCCGTCATAACAGCACTGTAAATGAGTCCGGGATCACGGAATTTATTCGGATTAACTGTGGCTGCTGCTCCTCCACACAAATCACCAGCTGCATACGTGGTGCCTGGCAGTGCCGAAATTCTCAGCGCCGTACTATCTGGCTCATTTTCTTTGCGATACTGCAATCACAGAAACAAAACGAGCATTTTAATTCAAACTGAGCCGGCATAGCATGTGTGTAGAGATTTCAAAAGTAACTCCTCACTTTGACTAACAATAGGAGAGAGAGAGAGAGAGAGAGAGAGAGAGAGAGAGAGAGAGAGAGAGAGAGAGAGAGAGAGAGAGAGAGAGAGAGAGAGAGAGAGAGAGAGAGAGAGAGAGAGAGAGAGAGAGAGAGAGAGAGAGAGAGAAAGGGAGAGAGAGAGAGAGAGAGAGAGAGAGAGAGAGTGAGAGAGAGAGAGAGAGAGAGAGAGAGAGAGAGAGAGAGAGAGAGAGAGAGAGAGAGAGAGAGAGAGAGAGAGAGAGAGAGAGAGAGAGAGTAACAACAGTCAGAATAGAGCGGTTGCCAGTTGATAAGCCACCCTTCTTTTTAAAATATGCAGTTGTACAGAGTCCATAAACGTACAAAGAAGCCTGTCCTAGAAGAGCATGGAAAGTTGGTCCTCCGAACTGGTGAATACAGACAAGTTCCGACTGCTAGAGCAAACAGCCGGCGGCACTTGTGTGCTGTACTTGTGTGCTGTACTTACCCAAACAGAAGGGTCTGCACTGGATGCATTGGATGAGACCCAGGTGATTCGTAGCTCACCAGGGCTACCAGTCTGAACATACACACGAACACCCATACACACAAATGTACACACACAAACACACACACACACGCACACACACACACGCACACACACACACACACTCAGACATGCCCATCGCGGAAGCGATGATAGAGAACAGCTATGTTAGACATAGCAACTTGTGCTGGGATTGCACCATTCAACAGCTTGCAAGGCTGATGAATTGACCGCCACTAATTTAGCCTGGTATCCACCACACAGCTGATTGAAGTGACTTTTTCTGGCCAGTGAATCCCTATTTTTTCCTTTTTCCTTTTTCTTCCTTTTTTTACACACACACACACACACACACACACACAGGCGCGCGCGCGCACACACACGCACACACCATTTGACCATTTGACGCCCATCGCCAGAGGCAATGATAGCGATGCTACAGCAGAAGCCATAGCAACTTGGAAAGATTTGTTTGAAGAAGACCATGCATCTACATGTCCTATATGGGTAAATACTGAAAGTATATACATGTACACTCATCCCTCGGTTACCCGGACCACGAAGTTACGGGCACTTCGGTCTACCGGGCACCCTTTGGTCGAGTTGTAGTGGAAACATTACTACTCTTTTGTCACTTTTCGTGGAAATAGTGATGTCATATGCCACAGTTATGACCTTTCCCCATCAATATGTATGTGATTTGGAGTTATGGATATTTCTAAGTTACGGGCTGTGCCCGGTCCCGGTCCACCCGGATAAGCGAGGTATCAGTGTAGTACTTTTTAAATTATATCGATATTTTTAAAACGACCCAAATGCACGAATGTGATCACAGCGCACAAGGCTTTATTCAGTGTAGAACCATCTTGCTACAGCTGTAACTTGTTAAAAAAGACCCCACACAAAGTGACAACAAGTATGAAGGCCTTATTCCCGCAGCTATGCAGAAGACGCTACTTTTAGTAGCATCTGGCGCTAGCCAGGGTCCACACCGCTTTGAATCTGTTCGCGTCTGAGGTAGGGCCTTTTACGTGACATGCCATGATTGGCGCGGTATCTCGTATGTGTCCTGTACCGTCCCGTACCGTAAAAGAAAGCCGGCCACGTATTCAAATAGTGCGTTTAGAGATATTCTGTAAGTAGCAATCTTAGTTTTTTCTTGGCGCCAGTAGTTTTCAGTCCTTGTTTTCGTTCAGCATGTCTTCGTTCAGCATTGAGATGTCTTCAGGCTCTCCTTCCGGATCTGAGGGACCTGAATACGATTGCCGTGCACATGATTTTGTATTTAGTATAACTACAGTTGTGGCAAGTGAAATCCTATGCTTAGGATGCGTTCTTAAATCCTCTCGGAAACGTTGGGGACTCTTGGAAAAGTTCGAGAGCTGTTCTTACATCCTCTCCGAATTTTAGGAGGCTCTCCAAAGCTCTCCAAGCTCTCCAAGCTTCAGAGGTGGTTGAAACTTGGAGATTCCCGCGGTTTGGGATTAGCGCATGCGAACTACAGCTAAAAGCCACGTCTTGATCATGAGTGTACGTATTCCCCTTTTTGCATACGCACAATGCATACTACACTCGTGGCACTCAAGATCGCGGCCCCTTTGGCGCTTCATATTGCTTCACATGTGCAAAATATCTCCGAATTCTTGGAGACCCGTTCTTGCATTATACCGCTTTCTTCGACTTCTCTTTTCTTCTTCTCCGAGAAGCTAGATAATAAAGAACGCACCCTTAAGGGACTGCACCATGCATACCTAGTACATGTGGTACAGTCATACAACTTTATCTGTCAGATGACAGTAATCGTACTCATCACAGTCAAGGTTCACAGTCAACGTTCAAAAGGTGCTGGCAAAATTTAAAAATGAATGAGGATTGGATACCAATACTCCTTATGTGTACCATGTGTTGTAAACTGTGTGTATCTATGCTGTGACCTTTCGATCTGTTTGTGATGCATACGCCTCTATTGTACACATTTGGTACAGTGCATTACATCAAGAGTACATAACCCCCCAAGAGTGTGCAACTCCCACATACCCTGCTGCAGGGAGTCGTCAAAAGGTATTTGACGACTCCCTGCCCTGCTGTCTCGACAGAATTTCAAGTTGACGTCATTATTTATGATGCAATGCTCCTTGCACCAGTGATTTACAACATGTGTACGGGTGTCAACGCATCACACGTTTTTCTCTGCAATAATTTGTACAGGATCAGATGTGCTTCGCGAATTCGGTCCACCACACGTTCCGGATTCGTCTGAAAATCCGATGCGCATTGCATCATAAAAATGACGTCAACTTGAAATTCTGTCGGGACAGCACCCACAGTCGAGTTACACACTCTTGGGGGTTATGTACTCTTGATTACATTACAAGGCCATCACAGCCGGGCGGCCTCACTTTTTCGGCCGTTTTTTTTTTTTTTTTTTTTTGGAGCACACTGCAACAAAGCGCGATGATCATCGCAGCTCAGCGCAAATGTGGCAAATACTGAAGAATCCCTAGTCGCCGATCGTGGTTTGTTGCAGAATTAAAACATCTTTCATTTACAGTTACACTGAAATGGCGCCAAATGTCCGGAAGTGCTTGCATTTGGCTTCAATTTTTGAAATTTTTTCCCGGAGGACCCCCTTCCAAGGCCGCCCTACCTCCTAAGTCGGTGCAACGGGCCTGCATCATTGATGTCCATATGTGGCGCTGTCCCCTATGGCAAGTGTCGGATTTCACTTGCCACGACTGTACTTGGTTGAATGTACATGTGCGTTTATGAGCTAAAGTTTCTTTTTTTAGTTCTTGTTCGAACCGATAGCTGAGAACTTTCTGATGTGAATAGACCTTTCGATTGCTCAATTCTGTTCAGGGAAAACCGGAGAACGTCTTTGAAATACAAAATCATGTGCACGACAATCGTATCGTTGCTATCGCATAATGCATGATAACCTAGGCAAAAAAGTAGGGCTGAAACGATCATCCATTTAGCCTAATCGATTACTCTTTATCATATAAACGATCGATTATTCGATTATAATCTTTAAGAGGCCACACCTGAAATATGTACGTGGAATGGCCGAAAGTGGAAATATGTACAAAAATTTGCACAAAAAATTGTAGACCGGACGCGACCTTGACCTTCATGCTCCAGCTTCGTTGTACTACACTAGGACTGTACTCGATGTTTGAACTCGCGCTGCATGCACTGCGCGTACTACGTCCTGAGCGGCTGCGACGCAGCGCATGCAGTGTGTAGTACCGTAAAATCCCGCCAAAGCGCCCCGTCTCTCCCATCCGCCCCTCCCTGACTTCTTGTCAGGGACGTGATTGATTGTATCCTCGTATGACACTGTCGCAGTCTGTGATGCCGTACTCTACTGCAGACGCGTGCTCAACCCCGTTGGAAATGTATGCAACAGTGCCCACCCTCTTGACCAGGGATCGCACAAACCCTGCGTTTTGTCGGGTCTGTACGACTCCTGGCTCTTGACTTTTGGTCGGTGTACGAGATGCACGAACAGTTTTCGTAGGGTGAGTACTTTTTCATGTAGCACTGAATGCGGCAAGTAGGACTCGCCCATCCGCCCCTCCCCACCTGAAGCGTCGAGGAGGTAGGGGCGCTCTGGCGGGATTTTACCGTACTGTGTTCTACAGGTTGTCCCTCGTTAATACTTCAGTACATAATCTCTGGGACTTGACAAATGTTATGACATTGTATTAACGGGGTTTATGTACTAAACGAAAGTGTACATAACTTGCTCGGGTACCAGAATTTTTCACTTTTTTCAACTTATTCTCATTGTATTAACGGGGTTTATATGTACTAAACGAAAGTGTACATAACTTGCTCGGGTACCAGAATTTTTCACTTTTTTCAACTTTTCTGAGTGTTTCTTGCTACCATGACTAGGGAGCGAGATATTCTTGATTCCCTTGATATAACATAAAAATTATGTTATAACGGTCACAGTCAGCGACGATTCTACAGTGCACATGATACATGCCCAGTCTTGCCTGTACAGTCACTCGGAAAAAGACAGAGCTTTGTCGGTTTGTGATGTGGACTCTGATTTCTGAGCTAATTGCGCCCACAAGTAGAAACTAGAACACGATGTGTCTCCACTGGAAGGCCAAAAGACCAACAAATTATGTACTATTGAAGTAGGTGGCATGCGGGCACGGAGAAATGTTGGGTACTAACGGGGTTATGTACTAACGAATTATGTACTAACCGACAAAATTTGTATGGAAGTGATCACGTTTCGTCCGTGACTTGAGATATCTAATGTACTAACGGGGTTTATGTACTAACCGGACTCGTATTAACGGGGGACGACCTGTATTATACTCTGCGCTGCATGCACTGCGCGTATAAGAAATTAAAAATTAAAAAACGCAAAATAATCGTAATCGGTAATCTAAACGATTGCTCGATCGTAAAGGCCGATTCACAATACAAATTCTTGCGACGCGACATGCGACTTGCGACACATGCGACGAGCTGCGACAGCGACACACGGTTCACAATATTCATCATGTTTGCGACATCCTCGTGCACAAGTAGTACCATGCACGTGCACTGCACGTGCACCCAGGGTCGAACCTGTACTCCATTTGTGTATGTCGCGTGTCGCATGTCGCAAAAGTTGAACTTTCTTCAACTTCTGCGACAGGTGCCTTGCGACAGCTTGCGACAGCTCGCGACAGGCATTTTCTTGTCGCGACTGTCGCAAATCGCGTGTCGCGTCGCAGAAAGTTGTATTGTGAATCGCCCTTTAGAGTTATCAAACGAGTACTCGATTATTCGGTATAATCGTTTCAGCCCTACAAAAAAGCATAGCGAGCTTTCAATTTGCAATTTGGTAGAATGTGTATGTATGCGAAGTGTATCGAGGGAATGCATGCAGTGCAGGGCGATAGTGCAGGGCGATAGTGCGGGTTCGAACCCAAGTTATGTGTTGAAAAGAAAAGATTGAAAAATTAAATGGGGCCTTTGGTAGGGCGTTTCACGTGATGCGCCATGGTTGGCGCGGTATCCCGTACATGTCCCGTACCGTAAAATGAGTATGTAGTGCGTACCGTGGCATAGATCTAGACAGAGCATCTGGAGTACCGTGTGAGTAATATGGGGACAAAATGCAATGCCTTGGCGGGTTGGTTGGTTTATTTTAATTCGCACAATAAACGGGAGCTAGGCCCGATGATATAAAGGCGAATGGACAAGCCGCATTTAGAAAAGAAAGGACAGGAACTTGTTGAGTAATGCTGAACGAGAGAGCTCGAAAGCTCAGGGCCCTCGCTATGCTTTTTGCCTAGGTAATCATGCATGTCATTCGAAATGATGGAAACATTTTTTGCAATATAATGATGTAGCCGATGATGTCACGGCAAGAACGGTTCCATCTGTTCGAATAACATGCATGATGACCTAGGCAAAAAACATAGCCAGGGCCCTGAGCTTTCATCCAGTGTAATTCTGGTTGGCCTGTAATAAAAACCTTGGCTTCGCCTTGGGGTTTTCAGGTTTTATTAGCCACGAATCCTCGGAATGTCGCTGATTGGTCATTTCCGAGACCACAAGATAGATCTCGTTCTAAAGACCGTATATAAAGACACCTTTTTAGGATTCGTCGGAGTGGCGGTCGCTTTTGTTTGTGGGTTTTGTCAGATGATTGAAATTAAATAAACTTTGTATCGACCTCGGATTTATAGATAAAAAAGACCTCCAATAAAACCGCCTCTGTTCTTTATCCAGGTCGATCATTTTCAGGCTTATAAATTCTCGGTCTCAACTTTTATTGCATACAATATGCTTGCAGTGTTACGCCACTGGTGTCGTGCCCGGTTAATAACAAAGTTTCATGTGCCAGAGAAGATGCGTTATTTAGAAGTTATGACACAGGGCAGGCACGTTTGTCCAGGAAATCCAAAAAATTAATAGGTTCCTCTAACAATCCTTTTCCAGCTTACCATGGCAATATGACCTTGCAGAGGTTGAGCTCCACCGTCAGGAAACGTCACAAGAACGTTCTGACCGACTACTGTAGTGAATGGTAGATGAAATCCAAACTGAGGTCGCCATCTGAAGAATATTAGCTGGCATTCATCTCTCATGTTGATGATAGGTCCCACACTAATGTTACCAGTGGTACCTGCTGCATTTCGACTAGTCGAGGCCTCCAAAATGCTCCATCTGTCAATGAACGCATCATCATATAGACTGTTGTTCACGGGTGGGCAGTACAGGCGGACTTCGTCTTTGTCACTGGATCCTACAGTTTGAGTGCGGCCCTGATTTCTCCACTGCACAGTAATATTTCCACCATTCTGTATCACTCGATCGTAGGCCGAAAAACTCAGCTGTCCATCTATCACTGGAGGAGTCATACCCAGCATAACACTCGCTATCAACAGCATCATTCGTGACATTGTCAACAACATCAACATTGTCGTCCGCTCGATCCACGCCACCGCAGACAGCCTTATTTTCAAAGCTTGGTCACCGATTTACAGTGCACCTTTTACAGCGATAAGGCCTTGACTTCTTCTGTCCGCTTCGCTATTTGAATAGCGCCACATGTGGTGGTAACTGTAAGTGTATTGTTGATGTCTAAGCCCGATTTGGACTTCACATCGCGTACGGGAAACGCTCCGCAAAGCCACATTGGAATATTCGCGGGGTGCAGCGTGGGGCAAAAAGGTTGTACTAGCTCGGTGTTCAAAGGTAGCTTGAAATGACGCCAGCGCAACATACGCAGTACAGTGCAGTGGGTAGAGCAGCGCAGAGCATGCACAGCAAGCAACGCAGGGTGGCCCAAAAGGGTGCACACTGCCCGGAAAGGTGGACAAACCAAATGGGCAGGGGATGTGCATCGATTTTTAAAGTAGGGTTCAGATGAAAGACAATATTTTGATATCGGTATGAATTATCTAGCTAGCATCTCTCGCTTGCGTCTTTGTGGTACACTCTCACAACACCAACACACAGAAGTCTTTGCTGAGAGGAGGGTGGCTCGGCAATGGCGAAGTGGGGACTGTGACTTTGTTTACTGGGAGATACTGAAGTGCTGTCTGACGAGGGTACGGAATTTGGGCATATCTGGAGCTTGTCTAACACTGGGAGGCAGTTGGAGCCACGTGGAGTAGGAGGAAAAGAAAGGGGAATTTACGAATAGGGTAGACCTAGCTAGGGGGAGACGAACGCAGCTTCGGGTGGTGCCGTCCCGAATTGAACCAGGGACTGTAAATGAGCAGGATTCTGGTCAAGAAAAATTGAATGTGCCAGGGTGCACTTGGAAGCATCAAGGTAGTGTTGCAGAGTGGTAGTGGATGCAGCAGCATACAAGTCCAGATTTGAGATAATAACGATCAGTACGAAATATGATGCGCAGTATACGGCGATGGAGAACTTCTAATTTACCTATGTGGGTTTTGTTAATGGTGGACCAGGCAGGGAAGCCGTACGTGAAGAGGGGAAGAATGTATGATTTATAAAAATAAATCCGGCAATTTTGGGGCAAATGGGACAAGTGACTTGACATTATGCCGACAGATCGGCATACTTTGGACGACACATGATCAGCATGGTGAGACCAGGAGTGGGCGAATCTATGACAATGCCAAGGTGTTTATGGTGGGGCGCTACAGAGATAGGGTGACCGGGATCATCGGGAAAGTGGAAGATGGGCACTGGATCTGTGGGAGGGGGAAAAAGGAGGGGCTCGGTTTTGGTCACATTTGGCTTAAGGTACCGAGTGCTCATCCAGTGAACAATGTCGTTGATACAGGTCTGAACTTTGGGGTACAGGGTGGCGTGAGACGGGGAGGAAGCAAGGACAGTGGTATCATCTGCAAACAAAGAAATATTGGGAATTGCATAGGGGAGGTCATTAACGTATGTGAGGAAGAGCAGGGGACCTAAAATGGAGCCCTGGGGCACTCCGGATGTCACAGACTCGGGGTCAGATAAGGTTCCATTTACTGTGACGCACTGATTTCGGTCCAAGAGGTAGCTAGTTATCCAGGCGAGTAGGGAGCCGGAGACACCATGGGCACGAAGTTTGGCGATCAGGCCCTTGTGCCACACGGTGTCGAAGGCCTTGGAGAGGTCGAAGAAACAGATGCAGGAGACCTGCCGCTGGTCTTTTAGGGAGCAGAGGTCTTGGATTATGCGGGACAATTGCAGGGATGTGTTGTCCTTACGACGGAAGCCAGATTGTGCGGGGTGAAGAAGAGGGGAGATATGGTCGTACAAGCGGTCGTACACTATTCTCTCTAGCAGTTTGGAGACGCAGGACAGGAGGGAGATTGGTCGGTAATAAGACGGGTTGTTCTTGTCGCCTTTATTTTTGTACACTGGAATGACAGTGGCTGACTTCCATCGTGACGGGAATGTGCCGGAGGAGAGGGAAAGGTTAAAAGGAATGGAGAGTGGGCGGGCAATTGAGTAGCTCAGTTTCCTGAGGATCTCATTGGTGATCCTATCAGCTCCGGGGGATTTGTTCAGAGTCAGTCTTGCAATATACTTGTGAACAGTCGATGAGGTGATGATCAGGGAGTGCAATGTAGTTGCTGGTGGAGGTAGGGAGGAAATAGTGGGAATAGGAGCATCGGGGTCAACCTGTAAGCCAGCACTGACGAAGTGGCGGTTCAATAAGTTACCAATGGATGCCGGAGAGGTGCTTGTTCGACCATTGGGGCCCACCATCTTCGAAGGTATGACCCGGGCGCTGGTAGGATTTCGCAGTTGACGAATGAGCACAGTTAGGGATGGGAGGCGAGGGTTTTTTTCTGTTTGTGGGAGATATCGTGGCACGGAGGTTGCGGATGTAGCGGCGATGGCAGGATCTGGAAAGGCATGTTACATAGTTACGTTGGTGTTTGTATTTGTTGAAATTTGTAGGGGATGGGTATTTCCGGTAGATGCTGTAGAGATCGCTCTTGACTTTAATAGCTGCTTTCAGTGATGCAGTCATCCAGGGGCAGGGTTTGTGGCGTGATTTCCGACGAGGAGGTGAGGATCTTCCTATTATATAGGTCCAAGGCACCTTCAAGGATGTCAGTGAATGCGGAGACAGCCGTGTCGATGCAGTGGGAGGCAAGGACCTGAGACCAGGGTACATCTGCGAGAAAAACATTCATGGCATTCCACATGTTATCCGTAGCACTCAGGACATTGTATTTTTGTGTAGATGGTGGGCTACGACAGGTGCTGGCTTCTGTAGGGGAAGACTTTGAGAAGTTGGAGAACTCAGCCAGCAGGACGGCATGGTCTGATGCGCCAAGAGGAGCCAGGTGTTGAATGTGGTTGAGTTGGTTAGGGATGTTGCTCACGATAAGGTCTAGACAGCTCGTATTTATTCAGCTTTTATTTCTTGTGTACTTGCATACTGGTATTAGTTTAGTCCCACAACCTGCGATAAAATGATCAGCTGTAGCACCTACTCCACTTTTATGTTTATGTATCTACAAGTATGTCATTCGGATCTTCCCAAGTTGTACAATGTACTGTTGAGATACCGAATTCAAATAAATCAATACCATACCATACCATACAGCTGCCAAGTCCATTCAAGCGGAGGTGGGTGGGAAAGGTTACTGATTGGGTCAAATTATAGCATGAGAAGAGGTTGTCAAGACTCAGACCCTGTGCATCCGTTTGGTCAGTTGAGCACCAGCCGGAATACCTACAGTTGAAGTCGCCTGATATCACAAGGGCTTCGGGCTTCCTTTGAGTTGATTGCAGGGATATTTGGAAGCGGTCGAGAAAAGTCGAGAAGTCATCCGTCGACGGGGAAGGAGCACGGTAGATACAGGCTACTGTTAGGTGGGTTGTTGGCAGGTCAGAAGGTGAGACAAGCTTATGTTCAGCGAGTGTAAGCCGAAGTGCTAGCGCTTCCAAGCCCGGTTGCTGAAAATCCGGTAGCTGATCAATGGAAGTACACAGACCTTCACGAACTAAGATTAGAACTCCTCCGTACCCCCGGCCTGTGTGGGTCACGGTTCTGTCTATTTTCTAAAACAGGTCGGTCTCGACGGAAGCATTCATAGTGTGGCACGTGGAAAGCTTGTGTGGGAGTTAGCCAGGTCTCTGTAATGCATACAACGCTGGGTGTGTGATCCTCACAGATTTGAATGAGTTCGCCAGACTTGTTTGCTATGGAGCGAGCATTAAGGACACAGATTGTAAGTCGGTGAGTAGCAGCATGTACAGAATGGGGGAAGAAAGGTGGGGCAAGAGCGTTGAGAGGCGCAGGGGTTGAAGTGGAAGAGGAGGGAGAGAGGTTACACATTGGAAGCTGGCTTCGTCACTTTGGGGCTGTCCGCAAAACGCCACTTGCGTACTGAGTGGCTGATGGCTTCGGGCCAGAAGGCTCTGTCTAGTACACGCTTTTCATGTTCTGCAGCCACAGTGACTCTGGCATACGATGTGCCAAGGTATTTCGACTCCATGACGGAGCAATTTAATACCTCCACGTCCCTCGCTTCGCACCAGTCTTTGATGGAGTGAGCGTTGCAACCGCTGTTGATGCTTCCAACGTAGAGCACAAGTTTGTTGATGGGCACCACCCCTGTCAGGACGCACGGATCAGCAGGTTCCGTGTTAGGTGGTTCCTTCACGTACCTAGAGGTTATACAGTAGCCCGTAGAGCTTTGGATACGCTGTCCGTGATTTTGTCCTGCCGTCCTTTTCGTCTATGGTTCACCTCTTTCCACATGTTCTGGACTGTGTTGGCTCTGTACTACATATGCCAGTGACCCCTGCTTCACAGCATTGTGTGTCGGCTGTGTGGACTGTACAACTACAGGTATCACTGGTGCATGCAGCACACATTTGGCTTTGTTGGGCAGGCTGGGTCTGGGTGCTACAGTACAGTGAGTAGATATTGGTTATAACTACTTCGAAGTAGGGGTGAAAGTTGGCACTGAGAACCCGAGTTCGAGTACTCTGATTTTCTCCGATCGAATATTCGAGTATTCTTGATATCCTAAAAATCGCACACCAACGGCCTTAAAAATCACATGATACAACCCTGATTGAACCGATTGGCAGTCCTTTTCTCGGGTGTATTGGTTGGTGGGTCATTTGGGCTCTCTCTACTCGTGTACAAGTGTTCACCACATAGTCTGCACATCAATATCTGCTGACTGCTGCTCTGAAATGCAGACTTCTGTGGCAAATGCATGTACCATGTATGAGCGAGTACTCTGGTTTATTCCGAGTACGATTATATTTGAAATATCCAAACGAGTATTCGAATATTCGGTATAATTGTTCCACCCCTAGTTATAACGTGCCCTTCTGATTTTTCAAATTTTTTTCACTATAACCGGTATATCACTCCAGGCGATTTTCAACTGCGCGCGTCATACAAACACACACCAAGAGTACATAACCCCAGGGGTTATGTACTCGTACTCTTGATTATACACGTGTGGGTACTCGATCGCGCTAATGTAGCGTACTGATACGTGATGGATGCTACTGCACCTTCTCCAGTCTAGAGTGAGGATTCTTGGCCCAAAGGCATCATCCAGGAAGCA